GACGTACTTTTGGTATGATTTCGCTTTGTGCCAGTTTCCCACCGTCCCGTACCTTGCGAAGGGAGACGACGACATTTTTATTCGCGTGCCGCAGTTCCTTGCCGACCTGCGCACGCTGCCACTCCGCGGTATTTACTGGGGCAGTTTTTACCATACGCAGCGTCCTATTCCCTTGAGTTTTATTATTGGGTTCGCAAGTACTCTGTCGAGGGACGTTGCGCAGCAGTTTGTCTCCTACAAGCCGCTGCAGCGGCTGGTGCGTCTGCCGTACAGCAGCGAGAGGGAGCCGGAGTTCAGTAGCTTGTACATGGACCACGAGGACATGATGGTGGGGATTGTCCTTCAGAAGGCGGAATATGGAAGCCTGACCTTTGTGAAGGAAAGTAAGTGTAGGTTTCATTACGTGCGTAACGGTCCACGCCTCGCCCCCGTGAGGCAAAGTTCCGTTGTTGTGCACCACATCAACGAAGAGGAATACGCCTCTTTAATGGAGCAGTTCGGGGCGGATACAGCACCTTCTCCCAAGAAATACACACGTTCTGGAAACACTATTGAGTTTGACTGCTGATGCCACGCGCAACTGTCAGCTGAAAGCTCATAGCAGCAATGGAATAAGTTTATTACCGGCGCACGGTAACCTTTTCTCTTGCGCCGGTGCAGGAAACGAGGAAAATGTTAAACCATGGCACGAATTCCGTGGGCGTAGGCAAAGGTAGAATATATATATAATTAAGGCATTGCTCTTTTGTGTTTCTACCTTTATTTTGTTTTGTTTGTTTTAAAAAAGTTTTTTTTAAATTTGGAATTTTTTGTTCAATTTTTCCTTCGTGCGCACTGATTATCCGTTGCTTGCCTGTGTCTTTTTTTTCTGCTGCCTCTGTCGCCGTGGTGTTTGCAGCTTCTCTCCGCCTGCCGCCTCCGCGGCGTTGCTGGCAGTGCGTTGCGTAGGGTGTATGCCGTTGGCCTGGAGCCGCGGTGCGGTGAGCCGTCACGGGCGCGGTGGCTGCTGTGCGTCCGCACGGCGGTGGCCAGTGATGTCGCGTGAGGCACAGCTGCTGGAACTTGACCTGCTGATGACGCCGCGAAGTGTGCGGCATGACTACGGCTTTGTTTCTGAGTGATGGACAAGCAACTTCTCCCTTTTTTGTTGTTGTTTCTGGAATGATGATGCCAAAGGTGAGGCCGGTATGAGTGCTTCTGCATGGAGCGACGCCGGCGGGTTATGGTAACTTGACGGAGCCCTTTTGCTCAGCTCTGTGGGGCCTTGGCGCGCAGGCAGTGGGCTGTGTCTGTTGAGGGCTTTCTTGAGTCTCTGTGCCAATTCCGGGGCTCAGAGGCGCCTTGTGCGGCCCTGCCTACGCAGCGGCCACCCTATAGTGCCCTACGTGAAGGGCCGCGCCGCTGGAGCTTGCGCGTACTTGCGATTGGGTGCCTGTCTCACGAGTACCACGCTGTCTTGCGACGTCTTTGTTTGTTTGTTCGTATGCGGTGGGTATTTTTGTTGGGCGCCAAAGAAAAAAAAACTTTTACGCCCAGCGCCGCAGAGTGTCGGTTTTCTCTGGCGGAGTTGCACCCCATCGGCCCCGCCTGCGTACGCTTCGGCTGTGCTGGTCATGCGCATGCGATGTGGCTGGTGCATCGCCGCCGGCGAAGGAGTCATCGTCTATTGCCGCTCCCGTTGCTGTGCATCCATCGCTGTTTTATGTTTTTCTCGCCCCCTACGCTTAGACCGTTGCGCCACCGGAACTCTCTTCTGCCTCTGTTTCTGTGTGTGTTTGCTTTTTTTTTTCTGGTTGTGTTCTTGTTCGTGTTCGTTGTTGTTTTTTCTTTTCTTTGCGCCATGTTGCGTGCTGCTGTCGTTGTTTTGTCGACGGCGCTGGTGCGTGTGTGTGCGTGTTTGGGCTTCCCTCGCGTGTGCCGAGCCGCGCGCCCCACTCTCCCCGCGTTGCTGTACGACGGCTGGTAGCACACGTTTGAGCCATTGTTATCACAACACACCGCCACCGCACCGCTGCCATGCGTCGGGCCGTCGTGGAGCGCACCGAGCAGGTGCACGTCGGCTTCGGCAAAGTCATCCTCTTCGGCGAGCACTTCGTCGTGTACGGCGCGGAGGCGCTTGTGGCCGGCATCGAGGCGTACACCTCCTGCCGGCTGGAGCTGACGAGGGGGCGGCCGGGCTTCGCGGTGGTGGACAACCGCCCCGCCGTGCCGGGCTACATCGTGGAGAAGGCCGAGGAGCAGCGCCTCGCCCACGGCCTCGTCTTCCGCCACTTGAACATCGACACCACCGTCGACGGCGTCTGCATCCACCTCGGCGGGCCGCTCGTGCCGAGCAGCGGCATTGGCGCCTCCGCCAGCGACGTCGTGTCCCTCTCGCGCGCGCTAAATGAGATGTACCAGCTGGGCTTGAGCGAGGCGGAGGTGAACCAAAGCGCCTTCGTCGGCGAGGGCGGCTACCACGGCACACCGAGCGGGGTGGACAACACGGCCGCGACGTTCGGCGGGCTCATTTCCTACCGCCGCGACCACGGGACGTCGGTCTTCAGCCGTGTCTCGTTTTTGAAGCCGCTGTTTCTGGTGGTGTGCAGCACCGGCATCACGGCAAGCACCACGAAGGTGGTCGCGGAGGTGCGGAAGCTGAAGGAGGAGAAACCCGCGTGGTTCGCCGCACTGCTGGAGCGCTACAACGCGTGCGTGAGGGAGGCCAAGACGGCGATGGAACGCGGGAACACGGTCCGTCTGGGGGAGTTGATGAACGAGAACCACACTCTCTGCCAGGAGCTCACGGTGTCCTGTGCCGAGCTCGACGCCATTGTGAACTTCTGCCGCGAGAACGGCGCACTCGGCGCGAAGATGTCTGGAACAGGCCGTGGCGGGCTTGCCATTGCACTGGCGGCGGACGCGGCGCAAAGCGACCGCATTGCCGACGCCGTGACGCAGCGCTGCCCTGCCGCCAAGTTCGTGTGGAAGTACAGCGTGCTTCCGAAAAGGTCCTCACTGTAGCACGCCTTGTTTTCTCTAGGAGAGGCGTGTTGGGGCTGGTAATGAAGACGGAGTCCTCTCCTCTCGGACTCTGGGACGAACAAAAGGAAGAGGCAAAAATAAAAAAGATTTTGATCTGTGTAGCAGCAGCATCCGCAGGAGACCTCTTTGTTGTTGTTTTTTTTACGGGGGAGGGAAGGGACGGCGGATGCGCCAATGTGCCTCAGGCATTTTTTGGCGGACCATCCGCCACACTGCGTTCACGTCGCTGCATCCTTTTGCCTCTCCTGCGTGCGTTGTGCCGCCGCGCGCGCCTCCTGCGGTTCTCAATTTTCTTCTCTGCCCTCTACTTCCTTCTTCCATGCGCCTTCGCTTTTCTTTTCTTTGCCGCCCCGCACACAAACGCGCGCGGCGTGGGTGCTTGTGCCATTCTTCAGCCGTGTGGATTCGTGGAAATGCAACTCGGGCCGCAGAAACGCACTTTTGCGCGCCCACCCGCGTTGGGCGGGGCGCCCGTCCCCGCGACGGAGTTTAACGCCATTCTCCGCATTCAGAAAATTCGTCAGACGCTCTGCGGCGTGGTCGCCTCGCGGGGCGCCTCGTCTGAGCGGGCCTCGACGCCGCAGCAGGAGGTGCGGGGCCAAAGCCCGGAGGCGCAGGCGCCTGCGCCGCCGGTCTCCGCCGCGGGCCGGTTCCTGCTCTCGTCGCAGCGCCGCGTGGAGGAGCTGATGCGCGAGAACCACCGCCTGGAGCTGCTGTGCGTCTCGCAGGAGGAAACCGTGAGGGAACTTCGTGAGGTGCTTGCGTCGGGCAGGGGGCAGCAGGCTGAGGGCGTCGCGGACGCGTCGGCGAAGCGTGAGCGGTCGCAGCGGCGCAACACGCCATCGCTGAGCCGCAGGAGCCAAGCGGCGCCCCGCGCGTCGGAGTGCGTCGGCGCGGCCGACGCCGCTGGTGCGCCGCAGTCGTCGCCGGTGCCCGGCGGGCTTGTGGAGGCCGTACAGCAACTCGTGGACGCCGCGGCGTGGGTGTTTCCCCGGCTTCTCTCCGACGCCGGTGCCTCCGGCGACGGGGCAGAGAAGGGGCTGGAGACGGCGTGCGCCGTCCTCGGCTTTGTGGCGGATCACCTCGCCGAGTGGGACCGCCTCGCCAGCGAGTCCGCGGAGGTGAGGGCGGCGCACGCGCTTCTCTCGCAAACGCTCCTCAACCTGGAGGCGGAGTCGGTGGAGTGGCGCGCCACAATCCTCGCCGTGGTTCAGAAGCTGCAGGCGACGCAGGCGGAGCAGCGGCGGTGCCTCCAGGAGAAGGACTCGCGCATAGACGCGTTGGGTGCCAGGGCCGACGCCCTCGCCGCTGACGTTGCAGGCGCCGTGGAGGAGCGGGACCGCTGCACGCACCGCTGCGAGGACCTGGAGCGCTCCATCCGCCTCCGCGTGGAGGAGCAGGCGAGCGAGCGTGGGGAAGCGGAGCAGCTGCGGCGCGAGTGTGAGCTGCTGCGCGGCGAGCTGGACTCCCTTCGCGCGTCCGCGCCGAAGGACGCCGTTGCCGCTGCCGGGGTCGCTGCATTTGACGCAGGCGAGCAGCGCACCTGGACGCAGGTGGACGTTGAGGACTTTCAGACGACGATTGCGTGTCTCACGAATGAGCGTGACGCACTGCAGAGCAGGTTCGACGCCCTCACGCACACGCTTGCCGAGGTGAATGGACGTGTGCTGTCGCTAGAGGAGGAGAAGCGCGAACTCTCAGAGCGACTGAGGACGCTGCAGGAGGACGCCGAGCAGAGGGTGCAGGAAATTGCGCAATTGAAACGCGCTGCGGCTGCTGCCGCCGCCGCCTCGTCGCACGAAACTCCAGCAGCTGCGCGCGCTCACTGCCCTGCGGAGGCGCACCGGCGTTGGTTTCTGCAACCGGTTGAGTGCTGCCGGTTTGACGGAGCGGAGTTGTTGACCCCCGTCGTGGACGTCTCCCCTGTTCTCTGCGCCCTGGGCGCCGACGTCTCCGCCTTCGCCGACAGCAACGAGCACGTACGCTCCCCAGGGCTGTTTTTTCACATGGGGAGTGCCATTGCGCAGGACCTTGGGCTTTTTAGAGACTTGCCCTCCACCTCCCTAGACGCGTGGAAGCGGTTCCTGCTACAGCTGCAAACCGGCTTCAGAGACGCCCTCTTCTACACCGCCGACCACGCCGCCGCATGCGCCCAGTTCTTTTACGCACTTTTGCTGCGCTCAGGGATGGTGCCTCACATGGGCCGCGCGGAGTTGCTGGCCGCCGTGACGGCCGCACTCTGCATGCAGTACGGCCACCCAGGTGTCTCAGGCTGCCTTCTCTCCGCGGCGCAGGACCCCGCCGCCGCTGGCGTGCACAGCTGCATCCTCCTACAGCGCCGACGCCTACAGGACCTTGGCGACCTCCTTGCACAGGACCCGTTTCACTTCCTCGACGATGCTCCGGCGACGCACTCGCTGCTCGATGAGGTGAGGGATTTACTTCTTCCGGAGGAGTGCGATGGGCAGTGCAGTGGTGTGATGCGTGCGTGCCTCGGGCTTCTGTCAGCTGGGCCCTTGCAGCTGGAGAGCAGGGCCATGCGCTGCCGGTTTGTGCAACTACTACTGAGGTTGTCGCAGTACGCATTCTGCATGCGGGCGTTTGACGTGCATGAGCGGTGCGCCGAGAAGTGGTTCAGCCTGATGCAGCGGCAGTCGCAGGTCGCCGCTGAACTCGGGATCTACGGCTTCGACGTGCCGCACACCACACCCACCGCCGCAGAGGCGCAGCTGCTGCTGATTGAGTTCACGGTCCTACCGCTCTGTCGCATCGCGGCTCAGGCCTTCCCGTCGCTGCAAGCGTGCGAGGAGGCACTGCGGGCGAACCACGCCACTTGGAGCCTGCGGGCCGCGCAGCACCCCACCGACGGCGTTGCGTTTGAACTGCTTGAGGCTTCGTTGCGTCCCACCAGCGCCTCGCCCGACGTTGAGGGCGCGGCGCGCGATGCCGCGGCCGCCTCCGGCACGGACCCACGCGCTTTGGACGACGCTCGCGTCAGCGCCGCAGTGCGTGTGGCGAGCGGCTCCCTCCTCGTCAACACCTCCTGCTTCCTCGCCTCTCAGAAGGAGATGCTCGCCGCATACGAGGATAACGCCACTCTGCGCCGCCTGCTCGAGGCACTTCTCGCCCCCGTTGAGACCCTCCCCGCACCCCAAGACGTTGCCGCCTGAGCAGGTGTCTTCGTGCGCCCATGCACGTGAAACCGCAGTGTCCTCTGCACACATACAGACACACGTACACGCATTTGCTATTGTGTCCAGCCTTTGCGGGCCTCGGTTACGCCGTTTTGCCGTTGTTGTTGTTGTTTTTTTTGGTTTGTTTCGCGGAGTAGTAGGCATATGGCTTCGTCCTTCTGCCCTGTTCTCCCCCTGCCGCGTGTGTGTAAGCGTATTTGATAGACCTGCGTATGTGTGGGGCTTACATGTGCAGATATTTTTTTTGTTCTCGGCTGCTTCGGCGTTGCATTATCTTCTTTTACGATGACGTCGGATGTCTCCTTGCAGCAGGGAGCGCATAACCCGAAGCAAAATCAGAGCAAAAACAAAAAGAAGAGTATATATATTATATATATATATATAACAACACGGCAGGAGGAGTTCTCCTGTGGCCCTCTTTTATCTGCCGGAGAGCGGAGCAGCGGCGGTGGCGGTGCTTCGTGGATGTTTCCCTCTTCATTACCTCCTCTCCCCCCCTTTTCATGTACTCCCCCGCGCAACTGCAAGGAAGTTTCTGAGGAACCCCCCAAACAAAAATTCATCCAGGCCCCTGCGTCATCTTCCACGGCCTGCCGGGACCACTGAGACGGGCGACGGAGATGTCACTGCTCGAGCTCTGCAGGGACTACGTGGCGACACGGAGCAAGGATTGGGTGCTCGCACGGACGCTTGCCTGCAGCCTCACGGCTCTAGTGCTGGCGCTGGCGTTGTCGCCAGGCCGCCAAGTCGCCAAGGCGATTCATGCACGCAAGGCTCTGGAGCTGTTGGGGCGGCAGCGGCAGCGGCGTCGTAGTTTTGGCATGGATTTGGCTGACCGACCGCGCGTGCCTAGCTACAAGCGATTTCTTTTCCTGCTGCGAATAGCCGTGCCATCCCTGCGCTCACGGGAAAGCGGGACGCTGATGATCATCTCCTCCCTGCTGCTGCTCCACACCTACCTCACCCTACGCATGCTGAAGATGGGGACGCGGCTGAGCAGGACTGTGATTGGCTGCGACCTCGCGGCAATGGCGAAGGGCATCGCGGCTTTCCTGGCGTGGTGCCTCCCCACCGCCCTCACAAACAGTTCTTTGCAGTACTCGCTGGGGATTCTCACGCTGCAGCTTCAATCCAACCTGAGCCGCTACTTCTATCGGAGTTACCTGAACCAGCGAGTATTTTTTCCCCTGGCAGGCTCGCACAGCGTCGAGGAGGTGGATCAGCGCATGACGAAGGACATTGAAGGCTGGTCATTGGCGCTTGCAAAGTTGTACACAAAGCTGATCAAGCCCATGATCGACGTCGGGATCTTTTCTTACAAACTGGCGTCGCTCAGTGGAGCGCGCAGTCCACTGGTGATTGCTGGCTACTACACCGGCTTTGCGGCGGTTGCCTACGCGTGTGCCCCGGATTTTGAGGGCATCGTGAGCGAGCAATTTGCACGGAATGGCGCCCTTGTCACTGCCCACCAGCGTCTCGTTCCATTCGCCGAGGAATATGTCATGACGCAGGGAGAGCACTTTCATCGGTCGCTGATGAGCAGATATCTTGCCTCTATTATAGAGCACGAACAATGGGCCTCCTACGTGCGTGGCGGGTACAGCCTCGTGGAGAGATTTGTTCTACGGTATGGGGCTGTGCTGCTGGGCTCCGCCGTCGGCGCGGCGGCGGTGTTCAACAAGCGCACAGAAGGAATGTGTACCGCGGACCTCATGGCGGTCTTCGTGGAGACCTCGTACCTCGTCAGGAAGCTCTCGCTGTCGATTGGGAGCATTCTGGAGAATCTCAAGAACTGCTTGCGTTTGCAGGCGCTAACAAACCGCGTCTACGAGCTGCAGGAGGGGATCGAGCAGGCGATAGAAGACGGGGCCGGGGCCGGGGCGGGGGAGGTGGTGCGAGGGAGTTATATAGAGTTTGACCGCGTCCCGATTGTGTTGCCGACGAATGAAGTGCTTTGCGAGGAGCTGTCGTTTTACGTGAAGCGGGGCATGAACCTCCTGGTCGTTGGCCCGAACGGCTGCGGGAAGTCCTCGATGGTTCGACTCTTGGGCGAACTCTGGCCGCTGCAAAGCGGCCGTATCATGAAGCCGCGAAGCGACCAGATTTACTACTTGCCGCAGCGGCCGTACATGTCGAGTGGGACCCTGCGGGACCAAATTACGTACCCGCTGAAAGGCAGCGAGGTGCTCGTCGGCGAGTCCACGCTGCTGCACTGCCTCGAGCTGGCCATGCTGGACGACATCTTTGCAAAGCCAAATATCACGTGGGACTCCGCCCTCTCGTGGGCGGGCGACACACTCTCGATGGGCGAAAAACAGAAGCTGGCCATGGCGCGGCTCTTCTTCCATCGCCCGAGCTTCGCCATCCTTGACGAGTGCAGCAGCATGATGGACGTGGAGGTGGAGGAGCGGCTGTACAACGTGTGCCACGAGCTTGGCATCTCCCTCATCACCATCGCCCACCGCCGCTCCGTCTGGAGCCACCACAACTGGATCCTCCGCTTCGACGGCTGCGGCGGGTTTATGTTCTCCCCGGCCAGCTTTGAGGCAGAGGGGGTTGTGGTGCTCACAAAGATCGCCACCGCCTCCGACCCGGCCATGGTGGGGCGGGAGGTGCGGCTCGACTTGTCCCACTACGGCGGGTAGGCGGCCGCCACCGGCCTTGTGCGGGTTCGTTGACCGCCCGCCCCCCGCGGCGCGAAGCGCCCGTCCCCCCGTTGACTCTTTGCGGCGGAGAGGAAAACGCAACGAATACACCGGCTCGTCTCCTGGCGAGCGGCGGCGTCTCTCTGCAGCTGCACGCGTGCTGCGAAGCTGCCGGGCAGACCCACACACGTGCGACGTCGGAGGCGAACGCCGCTCCCCTCCCCGGCGATGGATGCCGCGGTCCCGTCTGACACACCGGGCACCCCCTGCTCGTCACCACGGCGCAGCGGCAGCTCCCCACTCGCCCTGATCATTTCTGCAGCCGCAGGAGACTAACGTGAAGCCACCGAAAAGAGCAAAAAATTGCCCTGCCCCCAGAAGGGGTCATTACAAGCCGACCTCAAATACGGTTTCCC